AGACCCCAAGCTGCTGACTGCAGATTCCTGTGTTACTACCAGGGTGGTTGACGGTGTGTGGCATCTGTCAGGGTGCACCGAGAGGCTCGGCTTCATCTGCAAAACTGTCTCGAGTAAGTTGAATCTGGGCCGGAGCTTGGGACTCTGGAGCCTTTTGAGAGAATATTGGGTCACCTGTAATGAACTTATATAACATATTGGGACAATTTGCTGGACTTCTCGAGCTGTGGGCCCCCAAAATGTACACCTTTTACTCAAGTGACAATGCCATATGGTTCAAATTAAAAAAGAGAAATTAACAAATAATTAGCTGTAGATTTTGTGTTGATAAAAATGTGTGGATTGGGTAAGAGCCACAAAGGCAAAGGTTATATTTACATCAGGTTAGGACAGGGTTTTCCTTATAGACTAAAGCCCTATTCGCACGGGACTAGTATTACTTGGGGACCTCATGTGATTTAGTAATTACCCCATCACGTCTCTGTTTCGTGTGGCGCATTTGCACGGGATAAGCAAAGTCTATGGAGCCAGGACGGTTACTTTAAAATTTGGCATCCAAAAAAACAAATTGGCATTTGTAAATTGGCACATAACGAGTACTGAAAAAGGAAACATTGGCAGTCTGGGTCAAACAGTCTGTTACTGATCTGACGTTACCTTTGCTCGTACCGTCGGGCCGGCGGAGCACTGTGCACTCCTCTATGCTGCCGAATGGCTCGAACAACTTTCTCAAATCAGTGTCCGTCTGCTGTTTTCCCAGCATACCCACAAACATCAATCATCAATGCTGTCAAAATTCATTTATAATTGCCAACGCAGCCTCCATAATTCTCGACCGGGACAGGGACATGGCAGATTCACACAGGATTAAGTTCACAGACAACCTCCTCAATTGTTACATATTACTAGAGGCTTAAGACACAACTGCATGGAGCTGTATAAGTGATTGTACCCAGAATGATTAACTCTAATCAATATGTTTATATTAACAATTGATCATGTGACTACCTGTAAGTTGTCCTCTTTGCTCATGGTCTGAATACCCAAGATGAGGCATGATATTATATATCATATACTGAACTTCACTTTATGTGCTCTTTTGCAGATGTAATCACTGAGGTTGAAGTGGAACCTCTAAATGGTAAAGTACACTGTAAGAGACATTATCTGTTTGTTTGCCTTTGTGTGGTGCAATACACTTTTTGTACAAAAGGGGGCAGTTACCTATAATGGGACTGCATTTGTCCAGGCAGGGTAATGCAGCCATGTGAGTTGCATGCAAGGTAAGGCTGGGTTTCAATAGTTGTTCAACATGCACTCTCACACACTTCCCCTTGACACTTGCTCTACGGGGAATCCCAAGTGTTATTTAATTTGTCTGAAAAACCTAAGCGAAGTGAACCCTTGGAGGGCTGAGGGGGCGCACAGTAGCAATAATAGTCATGCATCTAAAATCAGAAAGTGGTAAGTACCAACAACTTCCGTATTGTAATTACTCGCAGGAGACGCCTTCACCTCAAATGAGTCTGCTTTGTAAAAAGTAGTATAGTGTTGATCCATGACAGCTTATGCTGAAAGTGTACCAAAGTGTTCCATTTAAATCCCCTGCCCACTTTCCCTCCGCTCCCCGCTGCTGTTACATAATACCAAAGGCTGAGGGGAAGTGGGACTGCTAATAAAACACAGCCATGCAGCTTTTGACAGTTGCCATGCTGACTGCCAGTAGCATGGCAGTGGCTAAAGGTTGGTTAAACTACCGGCATGCAAGATCATCATCCTTTTAAATAATTTGTATATCAATTTAAACTACCCCTTCATGTACAATTAAAATAAAAACACAGTTCTATTTTTAAAAATGTATTTCATCCAGTCCAAAATAATGGCAAAGGTCAAAGGTTGATAAAAAGGAAGCAGGTTTCTGGCCTTCAAAGATTATATAAAAATATATGGAAACTTATGAATATTGTGCTTTCTTGTTGTAATTGAATGATGAAGTGGTCTACCTATGAGATGAGAATACCAGCAGTATTTGAGACTCCTGTATTAGACACATGTATGTGTCCTATAGGTGCCATAGGGATAAGCACATTGTTTCACATTGTGTAGTATACAGTATATGATTAAACGTGCTGAGAGTGATTTATCACTTATAGAATCTGTGATATAATCGGATGCATGTTACAAATATATGTCTGTATTTTTATAATTCAACAAAAACACGACTACATAAAAGCTATCATGTTGTGTATTTCAGGTTCACATCATGGTATCATGCCCGCTGCAGTGCTGGTGGCTGTACTGATCTTTGCCCTGCTGGCAGGAGCGATGTGGTTTGTGTACAAGAGGAACGCTTCACGTTTTCGTGGGCTTCCCACTCTTGGCAGCGCTTATTACAGACAAACCAGCTCACAGGCTACAGAGTCGGATGGAAATGTGCTGATCACAGACCTGGAGGCTCACTCAGGAGAATAGCGCTCATGTGACTCCTTTTCTCTTATTTTAAGGTCTCTCCCTGTTCTCTGTCTGTCTCTCACCATTTCACCATCAGGTATGAATGCCACATGACACTGTAAAGCTGTGACGCTGACTCCTCAGGACAGTGGTGAGATGATGAAGGCAAACATGTCTTTCTTTAATTTGAGAATCTGTTTGAAGGATCCCAGTTGCTCTCTACAGTTTCCATCTATTGAAATCAGTTCAATGAGACAAATGTTTGTGAGGATGTTTCTTGTGTCGACACTGAAGAGCCCACATTTCAATTTCTAGACTAACAAACTTCACAAAAATGAGAATGTTGAAGAAGGGATGCTAGAGAGCTTTAAACCTGTTAAAAGAGGTACTGAACACTTAATTATATGTAATAATTCTGCAGTATGAGGATTTAAACCATTATAATTGGTAAACATTATTTAGGAAAATATTTGGGTCTTAAAGTTTCATTCAATAAGATTTTAACAGGTGAAAGAAAGTTTGTTTGTCATGGTCAAAAGTAACTTTAATTGTCATAAATAAGAAGCAGACTGATAACAAAATAGAAATTACAGTGGTACTCGTTATGTAATTTTGTATATTTCATTCAGAATTCAGGAGTTGTTGGAGTTGCACGTGGTTACAGCAATTTTGTCAGTATTACTTTTGTATTTTTATTTTATTTTTTTAAGTTTACATGCTGTATATTGATGCTAGAGGTCTTTTGTATGTTCAAAACTAACAGAAAATGTGTAAGGCTATAACTCATGATTGGATTTGTTCTGTTGTTCACTATCATCTGCTGATGCAAAGCAAATTAATAGATGTATTTTGCACACTTTTCTTTTAATTTTAATAAATTGAAGTCAGGCCTAACAGTTGTAGTTTTTATCTTGCTGTGACAGAGGAGGACACAGAGGAAATCCTCTATTCAAGTTCCCCTTTTCAAACTATTAACTACTTCACTTTCTGTCGGACTTTACCACAGACAGTGGTCATAATTTGCTGTTCCTTCCTTGAACATCGATCCTCATGAGAAAATAACTGACATCAAAGAATTCATATAGTAATATTATGTAATCATATAGACCGCTTTACCCACAGTTTGCAGTTTTGGCCGCTCCTTGGATAAATATGTTATATCCTTAATGTTGAGTGTTTTGCCATAAATAATGGTGTATCAGGTCAGATAATTACTTGTTTTTTAAATAGAAAATGCTAATAAAATGACAATAAAAACCTTTATGTAAACGTTAATAACCAGACAGACAGCAAGACTGCTCTTTCTCTTTAAAAATTAGTAGATAGTCTCTGTGGGCTGTGGGACCTACAGTACTACTGATATAGATTAGGCCAAGTAGGTCATTGTTTTTATTTTAAAATGAAAGAATTTATCTTTGTTCCTTGTATAGTATCCTGTATCTCTCCGTATCATATATATATTGTCTCCATGGAAACAATGCTGAGTTTGTAGGGCTTTGTGTGAATATATAATAATAATTTAATGTTTAATTGATCAAAGTAAAACATTCAAATAAGCCATTAGATTTCCTAAATAAAGGTAAAGAAATTACACTTTCTCTGACATCAGTGCATTTTGAGGATGAAAAACATAACATGCGTGTTTTAGTTGATGGAAACAACCGAGTGGGCGTGAGGTGGGTAATTTAGAGAAAATTTCCGGGCCATTAGGGAATGTGAAGGGAGGGCACAAACGAAAGAGATAGAAAATAAAAAGGCAAAATCGGAAGACGAGTAATTTGGCCTTCAAAATTAAAGCGTTACATGAAATGTGCTGTTCTGACAGACCATCTACTCAATTCTGTTGTATCACCTCATGTACCTTACTGAATTAGTCCAAAAATGCAGTATGGTTATTGCATATATCCATGCTCAGATTCTGGATGAAAGAGAAACACTGGCTACAATAAATGACAAAGCATAGAAGCCGAGGTTCAAGTAGAAAATAACTTTAAGTGATGATCTCATAACAACAGCAAGACAGTTTAAATACATGAAAGACAATTTCCAACATTAAAAGAAAATGTATACATCAAAGTTTGGCGAATAATACTTTTTGTCCAAGTAAGTAAAGAAAATATAAGAAGGGCCTAACTCAGGCATAAGGTTGAATTAGCATCTATTTTTTGGACTTAATGTTATAATTTTGTCTCAGTATCTATTGTTTTTTTGTTTTGATTTAGTATCTCATATCCATTTGACTTAGGATTTTTAATTTGATTTAGCATAGTATTTAATTACTTCGACTTATTATCTTTTCTGGACTTAGTAAGTCATAAGTTTGACTTTTTGTTGTTACTTATTAGGTAATACATTTAACTTAATTCATTATCATTTTGTTTTTTTAAATTATTCATAATTTAGCTTAAAGTAAAATGTTTTATTTGTTTATGCAGAATAACTTTTCATCATGCCATTATTTTATCATTATCATAATTTTCGTTACCAGTTTGTGAACTTTATTTTGTAAATTAAACCGGAAGTCTCCGCCGCCACCGTTGCTAGCGCTGGCTTGAAGAGTGTCGTCGGAGCGGGACTCTGGATAACACAGCTGACAGTTGAGAGAGAACTGCGTTAGATTAGTTATCTGGTTACTTTCGTTTTGGGGTCAAGTTATCGATCGGCCTATATATCCGCAGCCGATCACTCCCGGGGGGAAGATTCTTTATGAACCCGACAAAAAAGACTCTTCCGTGACCATGCTGAAATTATCCGGAGCGACACTTTGCCTTTGTTTGTTGACTCTGTTGGAGTCAACAGTTTTCTTGGGGACTTGTTCACCGGCTAACGTCCAAGGTTTCGGTGAGTAAACCTAGCTCAAAAAGCGGCCCCGAAAACTTTATTTTCGCTTCTATCTCTCTCTCATTTCTCACTTCTCACATTTACAGCCATGACTAAGCCGTTTCTGACATCCACACTCGCCTCTGTTGAATAATAACTTCGTCCAACAAGAAGCGCGACATGACTCCGAAGGACAATAGCTGCCAACCTGCTAGATCAACACACAAGTTGAGGCAGATGATACAAACTGAGATTTAACATATAAAGTAGTTTGACATTGTCTCCCCCCTTCCTCACACCCTGCCCTGTGGGTGAGATACCAAACACACGCACACACACACACACACACACACACACACCATATTATGACAGGTCTAACAAATTGCCCCACCCCCCCACCCCCAGCAGCTCTTTATGTCATGCGTTTACATCTGTAACTTGTAGCTCCCATGTTATGTAGGCTGGCCACTGTTTATGCTATGTAGTAGTGTGTAACAAAAGCCTGGATGACTGCAGTACAGCAGAGTGAAGCTGTAATATGATATTGTTTTCCATTTCCCAAAGCCTGTGTGCGTAGGGACTGTGTGTGTGTGTGTGTGTGTGTGTGTGTGTGTGTGTGTATGCCAGCAGATTTTCTTTTGTTTGTTTCATATTTTACCTCCTATAACTATTCAGCCAGGTTATTTATATGTTTTGTAACTGTGCAGTATATATTTTTAATGAAATTTATTTTCTAAGATATAAATGTTTCAGTACCTTATTTTTAGTCTTTATATTAAATACGGCGGCAGCCTTTATAAAATAACCATCAAGTGTGTGCATACTTTTATGGGGCTGCGGGATATTGTCATACATTGTGATTATTTTGACAGATACTACGAATAGTGGGTTTCATTTTTATTTTCATTTTCACAGAAAGAAAACAACAACTTAAAATCATGATGATGTAACATTTGCTGGGGTCTGTTTTGTTACATCTGGAGAACAAGATTTGTAGAACAGGGCATCTCTGCAGCACAACTGTACTTCATTATAATGCTGCTTTGTAACACATTTAACATTTATAAAAAAAATAATGCAGCTTTTGCTATTTGCATATTGCACTAATTTTGCAGTTTTGATAATATTTAGATTAATTGTGCAGCCCTAATACTGTATATAGTAAGAAAGTAAAGATAGATAGATAGATGGATGGATATATATGTGTGGTATTGAGGCCCAAAGACTTCAGTTTCACTTTTACAAAGAAAAGTAAATATGCATGGTTTGCACAGTTTATACTCTACCTCAGAAATGAAAAAGGATTCTATAATTTGATAAAGAAAATATGAGAGAAAATATATTTTGTATATTTTTATCTGAGAAACAAAGGAATCTCTTTCAGTCATAATTTTTGTCTTCAATCAAAATGAAATTTATGAAATCATGAGTTTAGTGTATCTTAGTCATTTTCCTCCACTGTTTTCACCCCAGATGAGGATGCTTTCACCATCCAGCATTCGAGCACAAAGGAGTGCCTGGGGATAAAGGATTCGGCAAACTTGGGTCTCACCACCTGTAATCCAGACAGCAAGTCCCAGCTGTGGAAATGGGGTTCGGGTCACCGGCTCTTCCATGTAGCCACTTCCTTATGCATGGCGTTGGTCATCCCCAACAAGACGCTGACCCTGATTGACTGTGGCTCCAACAACCCTCTGTCGTGGCGTTGCCAGGATGGGGCTGTTTACACTATTTACCAAATGGTCCTGGCGGTCAGCGACGGCAAAGTTGCAGCCAAACGGGAAGCTTCTGATACTTGGCTAAGAGGAGGATCCCAGGACAACATCTGCCAGAAGCCATACCACGGTTAGTGTGGTTTTCTTTATCTTATCTGAGAGGGAGAATGCTTACATGCTGTAGATCTGAGCACTGCAGAAAGTGCTTCAAGCTGTCTATTATGGACCTCTGAGGACTGAATAATGCTTGAGGAAATTAGCAGTCAGGAAATGAAAGTAGTATTCAGTTTGTGTTGAGTGTAACCCATTTGTGTAACAAATTGTGTCAGAGAATCGACTTCCTGAAGTGAATGTAAATTTACTCCAACGTCTGATACTTCACGCCTTTTCATATGTAGGTGCTACCTCCTCTTGTGTCACTTCACCAAACAGGTTCTCGTACATTACAAACAGTGTGGGTTATCTTCATTCCTATCAGTTATTACTCTTTTATGATGATAGGTAACAACATGGTGTACCAAATTCCAGGTTAAGGAATAGGACATCCTTTTGAAACATACAAAACAAAATACTACGAGATTATCTATCTTCAAAACTGCCGTTGAGTTTTTTGAACTGAGTTTTTGGGGGATTATTTGATTGTGCACATACAGTCATGCAGTGGGTCCGCATGGTACACCGCAACATTAAGGCTGGCTTTCACTTTTGTTTCACCGACACTGTTCCCTGCATGGCTCTGCTGTCCCACATTTTTATCGAACACTTGATAAAAATGTGTAGAAATGTTAAGAATTCACAATAAATGTATGTATATTACACTCAAAATTATCCTTAAGAATCAATGGAGAAAGTATTTGTTATCGCTTTTAAGACATAAAGTAGCATTAAGGGAAATATGAAAGCTGATGTCTATATCTAAAAAATCCCCACAAGTCTCAAAAAGTTTAGATCCCTGTTAAAAGTTTTTTTCCTAATCATTCCTCTTAAGAACAGAGGGTGTTGTACAGAGTATGAGGCAAATTGTGATTTGTGATACTGGGCTATATAAATAAACTTTATTTGAACATAAATGGAGAGGATATTTCAGCTATTTTAAATGCTAGATTTTCTGTCTGAATTAAATCTGCTACATGGTATTTTGTTTCTCTTTCTGTCTCTTTCTGTCTTTGAAACAACAAACTCCCTGTCATAGCCTCTGTTATTAGATTTGCTTGCACAAGATTTCACTCATTTGTTACTTCTTCACTATACAATTCCCTCTTGTTCATAGTTATTGCTTTTTTTTTTACCAACACACAGGATCTGATGTAAGTATTGGGTGAGGTGCATGCAGTATGTAGAAACTTCAGTTCAGTGTTACATACAGTGTTTCCATTTCCATTAGCAAAAATGTAAGATTAAACTAACTAAAGGTCTTCTGTCTTTGTGGTTTTGTCGTCCAGAAACAAATGTCTGTCCAACAATTCCTCCAAAGATTTTCCTCTCGCCTCAGTTCATTCTGGTCTCATTTTAGTGACATTATCTGCTAGGTGTGTTTGTGTATCTTGAGAAAAAGAAGTGGTTTGGTGTATGCAAACAAATCACTGTGCTGACAAGTTTTGAGTTGACAAAGATACCAGACGCTTGTTGGTCTTTGACTTTGCTCTTTTCTCGACCCTCCTCTCTGTGCAGTTGTCCACACCACAGATGGGAACTCTGCCGGCACTCCCTGTGAGTTCCCCTTCAAATACAACGGCAGCTGGTATCATGGTTGCCTCCCAGATGCAGATCTCCCTGGACTGTCCTGGTGTGCCACCTCATCGGACTATGACCAAGAAAGAAAGAAGGGATACTGTCTAACACCTGGCATGTTGTGCTTTTATTTTATCATAAGTTTAATGATTTTTTTACTTTCTTTTACTCATCGAGATTTTGACTGCGGAGACATGCAACTGCCCGTTTTAAAAAACATTGACAGTTCTGTAAGAGATTCTACATTTCTCTCCCTCTCCGTTACATGGCTGGATGTTTCCAGGACACAATCACAATATTATTATGACCTAATTAGAAGCTGATATGCGCTAAAACTATTTTCTCTTTTTAATCTGTTTTTCTCTGTAATGAATAATGTTACATCTGGCATTAGTAAAACCTAAATGACGCACATAGATTCTCACACTGTCCCTTTGACTTTGCAGAGGAGGGTTGCCAGACTCTGTTTGCCGGGCCGGAAGGGGAGTCCTGCTACGAATTTGTTTCCAGTGCCGCCGTGACCTGGCAGGAAGCTTTGGATTCATGTCGTAGTCAAGGAGCTGATCTGCTGAGTGTGTCTGGGCCCGACGATCTCCACTCCAAAACCTGTAAGACTGATTTACTATTTATTACTGCTCCTTCAGCTGTTCTTGTTTCTTTTCCACCTACAAGCTGACAAAAAGTCATCAACTTGACATGTTGGATTCAGCATCAACACAATTAAATGCTCTGATGTGAGAGGAATGCTTCCTAACACACACATTAATATTAATATAATATAGTTAATATAATCATTTATATTGATAAAAACTGCAATAATAAACAACGTCTAGACATATCAACTGGCCTGAGTGTCTCAAAGGCTGGAAATGATAGTCATACTGCCTAAGAACTACACATACGACATAGTTTCATTTTAAGGGCTGTTTAAAGAAGCAGAACAGAAAGAGGAATATCTATTTTATTCATGCCCATGCACCACTCACGATTTAAGCACATGATTTAAGACTTTTGTTCAAATGAAAAATTACAAATTATTGTTTTATCATAATTGTTGGTTTATTACTTGGTTGTTTCTAGTTATTGTTCTTTATGTGAAAAGAAAACAAGTTAAAAACTGAGTAAGAATGAGAAAGAATCTATTTGCATGAGTGGTGGCATGCCCTAATTATTACTTAGATCTCAGAATAACCCCACATAGGTTGTTCTCAAAATAATTAGTCTAAACACGGACTGTTGCATGTGTGTTGGTAAAACTGGACTTCTTGCTCCAAGTCTGGATGTTGAGACAGACCAGTTTGTTTTTTTTACCTGTTTTGTTATTTTGTTTCTTCTTTGTTAAAATCTTGTTCATTATGTTGGTCTTCTAACTTGTTTTCCACTATTTCGAAAATGGCAAGGCAGCATTATTTATATAGGACATCTCAAACACAGATGCAATTAAGTGTGTTAAATAGACAAATAAAAGCATTAGAAACCAGAATGCAATCAATTATTATAAACTAAAATGACCATAAATACAACTGGAGTGCAGTCAGCACTAGACATTTTTAAAAAGTAAACTGTAAACAGTCTTGTTGGCTCAAGGATCCATTTTCTCTGTCTCTGTCTGGGTTTGTGGATCATAAGCACTTTAAAATTGTGTTTGTTTATCTGATTATAACCTGTCATTTCTTGAGGATATCACATAGCTAGCACCCGAAATATCTCTTGTTCTTAAGTTGAATGCTGTTTGCAGCTGGTGCAACGGTATCTTTGTGTTTGTGGCACTGTAGCTGTCAACCTGTTGAAAACCACATCACAAGTTGCATTGCACTGCAGTGGATTGCACTAGGACACACTTGTGATTCTTCAAAGTTTTATGTTCCTGTTAGGGCTTTACTGTCTATGTTTTTCCCACTCTTCTCCTCTCTCTCCTTCTTAGTCATTTTTATTGGGCATCCATGTGTTTGTGTTTTATTATGTTGTTCCCACACTTGATGATTCATACTCTCTTAGACTTATCGTTTTCTTTTCCAAATGTATGCATTACTTGTGATCCCGTGTGCTGTGATGTTGCATTGTGCAGTTTTGGACGGCCTCGACAGAATGCCTGAGAGGATGTGGATCGGCCTGCACCAGTTAGACATTTCTCAGGGCTGGCAATGGTCAGATGGCTCCCCTCTCTCCTTCCTGCGCTGGGAAACAGGTGATGATTATATGATATGTGTTACTTTCTAATCGTTGCCCCATTTCTGAGAGTATCTGTATAAATGACATATAAACACATTTAGCGTCACTGTTCTAATAAAAAAGATGTACATAAATTTACCAACTTATGCATAGCCTGCCCATAACCTCAGTGTACCAGTTTCTGTTGCCTATAATACCTTACGTCCTAGCACAACAAAACCTGCATCCTGTTGTGATCTGCTGTTGTCGCAGCCCTTCTATAAACTGAGACTTGGTGTCAGTCAGAGACACAATAGGGCCAGTGTTGAAAAGAAGCTCATTGTGCCTGGTTTTTGGACACAGTGTAGCATTGGGATTGTTAACATTGCTGAATAACCCATTAATAGTACTGAATAGAAGGCTTTATAAAACCTTCTAGCTATTGTAATATTTTTCTTCTGTTTTTTTTCTTACACTGCAGCGTGAACATTAAGGATACTGCATCCATCTGGCCTTCTACTGATACAAGCTCTTTGTGGTTATCATAATTTACAACATGTCAGTGTTGCTACTAACAGCACTATGTTGACCTGTTACTGCAACATAAAACATTTATTTTATAGCACCTCTCTGTGTGAAACACGAATGATAAGCTAAAAACCTAGAAAGTTTCCCACAGGTAAATGCCACTGTGCTCTGCTGTCACAGTCAGTATGTGATTTTATATTAATTTATTGTGTGTGGGAATGTGTTTGACAGGAATGCCATCCACCTCCATTATTACTGAGTCAGACTGTGGAGTTCTGAACTCCAAACACAACTATGAATCTGAGTCGTGTGGCAATCGGCTGCCATACATCTGCAAGAAGAGTGTCAATGCCTCTCGCACCGCAACAACAGGTGGGTTAGCTGCTGCATTCACTTTCTGCACTAACCCTAACCCTATTTCTTCTGAATCATAGAGTCTATAGCCATATTGGCGGCTATGTGAGGCTGCAAAATGCTAATGTATAATGCTATGCTAACATTCTCACAATGACAAAGCTAATATGCTGATGCGTAGCAGGTGTAATGTTAACCATGTTCACTGTCTTAGTTTTCCAGGTTAGCATTTGCTACTTAGTACAAACACAAATTACAGTTGAAGCCAATGGGAATGTTATTTATTTTGCAGGTGTTTTATTTGTAAATCAAAATATGAGACATCAAAATGTCTGTATTAAAAACAATGCTACTAATCTAGAAGGTTGGTTAGCAGCTCATAGCTTTGTCAATACATCCACCATGACCAAAGTGTTTGACTCCATTGTTGGATGAAGTGACATGACCCCACACTCACAGTAGTGTGGCTCAAATTGATGCTGACACATTCACAGACTCAGTTTAGCTGTTTCTTCATTTTGGTTTTTAATGGCGGTTGGCAACCAGCATATTCGGAGCTTTCCCCAGTTTGTATAAATGGCAGCTATTGTCCCTCCTCTGTTGCTCTTCTGTTTCTCCCGTTTTCCCTGTTGAAAAGATTATAAAGCCCTTTGTGTCAAATCTGTGATTTTAGGATATGTAGATAAAATTGACCTGACTTCTCCACATGGCCTCTCTTTGTCCTGCTCCCTCTCTACAGAGCCTTTTGTATATAAAGAAACAGTGTGTGCAAATGGTTGGGTCCCATGGAACGGCTGGTGTTACAAGTTAGTGAAGGACAGACGTCAGAACTTTACAGATGCCCAGTTTCACTGTAACAACACAGAGGGAGGAGGAGGAGGCTTTCTGGCCAGCCTCCACTCCATCGACAGCAAAGAGATGATCAGCACTAATTTCCATGCAGGTAAATCTCTCACTTTCAGGTTTCTTAGATTATTTTACTTCGTAATTAGTCCTGAAGTAGTTACTTTTCTTTGAATAAGTGAAATATCTGCAAGTTTTATATTTGTTTTAAAGGTCTTGGTTTAAGGCAGAGATATAGTGATCACATAAGTTTGTGGATTTCACGAAACTAGTTGATTTACACTATGCTGCCTTGTTTTTTTCCACTTTCTAAACAAGTTGGAAAGGAGGATTAAATTCAAAATGTTTTCTCACCGGTCTTCTGCCGTGACTGTTTGAGTTTGATTTGAAACATTTCCATAAAATCACGATGTTCACATGTGTGTAATGGTCCATCAGATGGGAACGTTAGCGATGTGTGGATCGGTCTGATTGGTTCCGGCATGAACCCCACTGTCTTCAAGTGGATTGACCAGGCACCTGTCACCTTTACCTACTGGGACCAAAACCAACCAGTCCAGCCCACTCAGGATACCAGCTGTGTCTTCTACTCTGGAGAGGTGTGTGTGTGTGTGTGTGTGTGTGTGTGTGTGTGTTTGTGTGTTTGTGTGTGTGTGTGTGGGTGTGTGTGGGTGTGAGTTCATGCATCTTCCTGTATCCTGTAACCCCTCCCACTGTTTTCAGTCTTATTTTTGGGAGGGGAGTGGGGCTGTGTGAGGAGTATGAGTACTGCCAAGGTTGTGTTTTTGTCCTCTTATGATCTGCTGTACACGTTTGTTTTTATGAGGCCTGCAAAATCAAATCTGTGTCCATTCTCCACAGTCTCATGGTTGGCAGGTTGGAAAGTGCACACTGCTGCTGCCTTTTTTGTGTCAGAAGAAAGGAAAGGTCAAGGAATTGGTGACACAGCCCGGATGTGTCCTTTCGGATGTGAGTATTGTTTAGATGATGTGATTTCCCAAAGGGAAGCATGCTGTATTAGCATTTTCTTACTCTCAGCAACTGACTGTATCAGCTCATCATGTCATGTAACAGTGTGTACATTACAAGCCTAAATGCTGAGATACATTTTTTTTTTGTATTTCTTTATATATTCATTTATCTATGTTTGCAAGTGCTGTGTCCTTCCGCACATGGGTATCTTGTCTATGACCTGCATGCATACGTCAGTAACAATCATGAAGTCATAAAAATGAATGGAGTTGCCATGCAAGTGTGTATTTTATGTAGATTGCATGCTATCAAGGTCAGCTGGCATTTGGCCAGCTTTTGAGTGATAAAGGCACTGAAGTCAGATCTGTAGCTGCAGTAGCAGCTATTGCCAGAATGGAAAATATTCCATTGTGTCAATGCAATAGCTATTTGAATATGGCTTTTTTTATGGCTTTTATGAATTACGGTTTTAAATGTGCTCTTTATTTTTATTGTAAAGCACTTTGTTACTGTGTTTTGAAAGGTGCTGGATAAATAAGGTGTATTATTATTATTATTATTATTATTACTGAATGTTGTTTAAGTCTTACTGCTGTCAATTCCCCAGGGTTGGAAGAGACACGGCAACTCCTGTTATCAAGTGAACATCAAACAAGTACCCTTCAAAGATCGCTGTAACATCACTATAAGAAACAGGTAGGAGTCTGCTGCTTGACCAGAAATACACACCGACTCATCATTTCTCTCACACATGAATGCTTTATGGTGCCATATCAGTAGGAGATCTCTTTTCTTTTAAGTGTTAGGCAGATTATATAACTTACATTTGACTCTTTTGTTCCAGGTTTGAGCAGGCCTTTATCAGCCGTCTACTAGGAGAGCAGATCACCAAGGAGCCTCAGTATTTTTGGATAGGGCTGCAGGACATTAAGAACACAGGGGAATACCAGTGGGTGAGCCAGGATGGGTCCCCGGGTGTGGTTACATACACCAACTGGGGCTGGCATGAACCAAGTGAGTAAAAAAATGCACCATGTCACAACAGACTTACTAACAGAGTATAGCATTATAATGTGCAGCATTGAATTCTGGACCTTTTCAGAACATGGTGGTTTCTTCTAGTGTGAAGGTTCAGATTTGCTAAATTAATAATGCATAAAAAAAACACAACCTTTTACCATTCACTGTTTCGTTTGCAGGACAATAGCATCATGCTGATATTGATACTGCTAGTTACAAGAATATTAATATGTAATATACAGTATGTGTCGGTTGATTAGACTCTCATCTTTTCTGTCATTTTGGTAATTAAAAGAATATCCTTGTCATAAAAATAATGCTGGTACAATGCAGAATACCATGTCAACATTCCCACATTTTCATATTTAATGAGCTAAAAAATAAATTTAAAAAACTGCTTTTTTCTCATCTAGAAAGTCAAAGTCAGCCTTCTATCTATTTAATTTATTTGCTCAAAAAACAACTATATTAGCAATTCATATTTAACTTCTTTGTGTTTCATGTACATATGTTTTTCAGAACGGGATGGAGGTTGTGCAGTGATTTCCACCGCAAAACCCCTGGGCAGTTGGGAAGTGAAGAACTGCACCTTTTTTAAGGCTGGCACCATTTGTAGAACAGACCTTGGTTCGCTTCCACCCGCAGAACCAGAGCCGAACCCCAGCATACCCTGTCCTGATGGATGGGTGTCCAAACAAAACATCACATACTGCTACAAGGTTTGTGTGTGTGTGTGTGTGTGTGTGTGTGTGTGTGTGTGTGTGTGTGTGTGTGTGTGTGTGTGTGTGTGTGTGTGTGAGACTGTGTGAGACTGTGTGTGTGTGTGTGTGTGTGAGTGTGAGAGACTGTGTGTGTGTGTGTGTGTGTGAGTGTGAGAGACTGTGTGTGTGTGTGTGTGTGTGTGTGAGAGACTGTGTGTGTGTGAGACTGTCTTTGAACACCTGTAGTTGCGTAGAATATTCCACCATTAGGAACCATGGTTTTTTTAGCAAAGGTGGTAATGGATGTGGCTGCATTGATTTTACACATCAAAGTCTGTTCACAGGTCTTGGGAGTATTGCTGCATATGTGGGGAAACATATAGTCATATATAGTCTTTTGTGGCTTCAGTTGAGTTGCATTGTGGGTCACCAGGTTTTCGAGAAGGAAAAATGTATGTATGGAGTAAATCATGCATCTCTGGTTCTGCTGCTTTTATTTTTATCCTTTTTGTTAACAAACGGTCCTTTTGTGAGTACGTCATTGTTATAAAAGTACACTGCTAAATTGGTCAAGAACTCGTTTAATTATTGGCAGAATGGTATTTACTTTATGAAAATATCACTTGTCACTTAAACACAAACCCAACCTAGGCAATGGATCATAGGAACAGAAAAATAGGAGGAAGGAAGTAATATTTAGTAGAGAAGCAAAAATCTATTAACATTTCCAAAATCTCATCACTGGGATCAAATAACAATTTAAATAAAATATTTATGCTCTAGTTTCTTCTGCATTGGGCCAATCAAAACAATGGTCAGTCTTGTGTATTTCATGGTTGTCTTATTGTACAGATTTGTCACTTCCTCTTCTAAATGATGATCAGATGACAGTTGGCTTTCTTTACAACCCAGTGTGTTACTTTACTTTAGTAGCTGTTATAAATTGTTCTTTCGTCATGTCAGGTGTTTCATGAGGAAAGGCTGAGCAGGAAGCGCTCCTGGGAGGAAGCTGAGAGGTTCTGTCAGGACCTGGGAGCTAACCTGCCCAGCTTCACAAATATTGGTGAGATGAGGGCCCTGCACAGCATCATGAGAGAAACCATCAGGTAATTCAAACATGCAGACAAGTACTGTATTCCTTTACAAGCATTCATTTATTTGTCATTGTTTATTTTGTAATTTTCTGCTTTGAGTAAATCAAAACTGATTGCTGCTTTACTCTTTAGACACATTTCATGCATACGAGTGTGGGTTATAATCATTCCCCATCAGACTGCCATTACCATTCATGTAATACCATTCTGTCACTTAACAGAGCGATGAATGCTAAACATGTTGGTTTGTCGCCATGGGCGCATACCTCAGAATTCAGGGTCCTCTCATTGTTCACATAAACATTCAGCACTTCACTTTGAAAGTTTAAATAAACACATGCCATCTCCTGAATGACACAGTTGAGTTGAGTTTAAACTTTTGAAGAAGGAAATGCCAACATTTCTTTTTAAAATTTGATTTGTGAGGATTTTTTTTTTTACTTCACGAATGACATGGTTTGCTCTGCTGTTCTTGTTACAGTGATAATCGGTACTTCTGGGTTGGCCTGAACAGGAGAAACCCAGCCGATCGCTCCTGGCAGTGGAGCAGTGGCCGCCCTGTGAGTATAAGCCTGACCCTAAACCTCTCCCTAATACACTGCGAGAAGACATAGTGTATATAAGTAATTTTTGGTATGCAACCATTCAGAACTTTACAAGAAAAATTCTTTCATCAGTTAACATATTGATGATGGTGGTATGTTTATTTTAAGACAGTGACTTCTTAAAATTCATGAAACAAATCAAAGTGCATCATATCTGTGCAGGATTAAAGGACTTTTTAATTTCAATTATTTCGCTTATTATTGCATTTATTTATGAGTAAGTTTATTCAATGTCTCCATAACAGGTATCTATGGATGTTCTACACGAAGATTTCCATGAGGACGATGAATACAGTCGGGACTGCACGGCATTCAAGGTGGGCTGGGTAGATTTAGACTAATAAATGACTTTAAATGAGAAATAGTCTTCAATTATTATGCATTTTCATGCCAGTTTTTAAAAGTCACATGACTTGACTTGCAAAAAAAAAAAAAATAGTATCTTATTTTATCTTATCTTTATGCATGTTTTTCAACATTTAGTTTAATTTAGTGTAGTGATATCTGGTTATCCATACTGTACAGCTTGACCTGTGAATCATGGCCATTTGCTCAAGCTGTTTGTGGGAGTCATGAGAAGAGCTGCAGCTACAATCTGTCTCAGTTGACTCAGTGATTTCGTGTCCTACAGGCTGTCTTGAAACTAAATCCCGAAAAAGACAGCCGGTCAGAACAGTGGGTCCTCTTTGTTTTTTCACACCATGAGGACACGGTCACCTGACATACACCAAATTGGCCTTAATGATATTCTGTCTTGGTTTATTTGACTCCTTGCTGTTGGCCTCCATTTAAGAAGTACTTTTTTTATCTTGCCGTCCAGACTCTGACCTTTGCTCTCATTTAGTTTGTCTCAGTTAGTGATTGTGTTGTGTGACAAACTATCACTGAATTGCGTTGAGCCACATGATCTGCAATGAAACTTCTTTTTTTATGTATGTATTTCTTTGATGGTAATATTTGTGCAAACTATCTGTGTCCTCATTAGACAATGAAGAGCAGCTTGAAACACCTGTTACTTTTTCTGCACCATGACTCACCACCCACACCTTTCTTTGCCACACCATTTCACTGTGATGCCAGGCTAGAGTGGGTCTGCCAAATTCCCCGTGGTAAGTTGTTTTGTTGTTGTTTTTTTGTTTGGGAGGAGCTAATATCTCTCAACGAGACAAATTAGTCGCCTTGTTAAAAATGTACATTTCATATTGGTAAGAGAGAGATTTATCCACATGTGATTTAATAAACCTGTAGGCTTATATGTAAATAAATCTACTGGAAGGCAACATGATGTTGTTATTTGTGTGCTTTTGGTAATATTCTGCTTCTAACCAATTCTTTGTTGATGTTTCCACAGGAAAGACACCGAAGAACCCAGCCTGGTACAATCCCGGTAATGATGAAATCTAAGTCTAATTTATCTTCTGAGTCTGTAATTTGGTCAGATAATATGTATGTTGTCACTGTCTAAAATGTGTCATGATTTTAGAGCAGTTTGTTGTGCTTTTCAGGTGGGCACCATGAGACATCAATCTTCATAGATGGAGCAGAGTTTTGGTTTGTTAATGAGCCTGAGCTGACTTTTGAAGAGGCAGAGCTCTTTTGCAATGTGAATGACAGCAAACTGGCTGCACCACTTAGCTTAACTGCTGCCGGACAGATCCAGCGGTACCTCAAAGATGTAAGTTGTGACTTCTTTCAAGTACAGTTTTAAATGTGTACTTGACAGCTACATGATATTGTGCTTAAAGCCTGAGGCTAAACTGGTTAGTCGGACATGCCACTGTATGCAGCTTATTTTTTCGAGCAGATAAACACGCTGTTTCTTCCATTCCTTCCATCTTTCCACTGGTTTTTTTTGTTGTTTTGTAAAGGATAATAAAAGAGACCACCTTCGACTCACTAAGCTCTTCAGATACAGAGTATAGTTCTTATTAGAGTCAGTTTTAGCCTACAACATGTGTAGAAATCCAATGCTTGACACACTTGCCACGCCCCATTACAGTTGCTAAGCTATTATTTGACAGTTGCTGTTTGTGGGCGGGGGTTTAGCAAACAGGTCATGGAAACTGGTCATAGAGTTTTTCATGAAAATACAGCTGGAAGCAGTCAAAATTCAGTAGAAGAACATTATGCCTCCGACCACTAACAAAATAAAAACATCAATGTAATAACATCTTAGCGGCACAGTTACTTCACAGTTCATTAAAACTCACCATCAAATGTATTTGTCTGAAATACAGGCCATCTCATTCTCTGCTGCATCAGTTTTTATTATTCTGTTTTTATTCTTTTGTGTTTTATCCGTCTCTTGTGAGAGCTCCCAAATATGTTTCTTACACATACATCTAGTATAGCCAAGCATTAAAACGCACATGAAAAAATCACAATTTAATTAAACAATTGCATGTTTTTCACTTAAAAGGGATTTTATTTTCTTTTATTGTATGTTGTTCCTTGCTGACGTGAAGGGTATCCTAATGATTACTGCCTCACAAGGTCTTTTTTTTTGGAAAGAGGGATGACAGGAGGCTCCGTATAGGCATCCAAAAATAAATGATGTGTAGGGTGCTCTTGGTTAATAAGGGAAAAAAACAGGATAAAGAGGAAGGCAATACAGCCACTTCAAAAAATATTAATGAGGGAGGAAATAGAATATTAAATATTAAATTATTGTAGTTGCTAAATCATTAAAAAAAACAAGATTCTTCGACCTCTGTAGGTTGTCACAGCTTTAGAACTACAATAAAGGCTTTCTGATATTTGAATATATGTGCCTGGATTTCCCTCCCATTTATCCACTTTAGAAAGTCTGTATGAGACAAGAGGTAATAAAGTTGATTACAGGATTGTTTTATTATTTGGTACTAAGGCTTGCATGTTTTGAACAGATATCAAGTTCTCCCAAGCAAAACTGGTGGATCAATATGAGAGAGCCCGGGCGGATATTCCCCATGACGTAAGCCAGTACAGTCACACACACACACACACACACACACACACACACACTGTACCTGCATAAAATGTGATGCTGAGGTTGACTGAAATAATCTATGTTCTAGGTACACCCAGATGTACTATTATCATTCATTTTTCCTGGGCAGATGCACCTCCATCAGTCTTGAAAGCTTATTTCCAGGTGAGTGAATGTCAGAGTTGTTATGCAGCTGTGTATGATTAAGGATATTTTTAATTCAACATGTTATTTGATAGAAGAATCCGTATATATGTAATCCGTAGAATAAAATGTGAATAAAGACCCTAAAATAAGAAATGTTATCGGAGAGAAATGTGTATTTGTGTTTTTGCTCTTGCTCTTTCCACTGGTTTGAAGTGGGTGATGCTCAGTTGGAAAAAGATTTTCCAACTGAGCATCAGAGTTTAGGGACATCAGTATTTTTATAAAAATCTATTGACAGACGTGGGTTTTGTTTGCTCTTGTTTTTGTAGTGTTAAAGTCCTAACAGAGATAGACAAGGATGCTTTTTCAAACTTAAACTTAGATTTTTCAGTTTAGTGTTGACTATGCTAGAGAAAAATAATTATAAACCAAGGTTTCGGGGGCTTTAAAGCTGTATTTTTCCCAACTGCATTTAAAAACCGCCTCTTTGTCAACTTTACAAGGCATTTGATTGAAACTACTTACATGCCAAAATAACTACAACCAGAGAAGCTAGCAAATGTGTAAATGTTTTGGAAAATTGTCCAGGGCAGCACAAAACACTAAGGCAGAACTAACTAATAAACTAATCTGACCAATCTGACTAATCTGATGCACATTATACTCTCTTTTGTTAATCAACACATTTGCTGCTATGTTTGCTTGCAGAGTATGAGCGCAGTTGCCAGCAGCGGTTGCCCTTTGTTTGTGAGAGACACAACATCACGTCAGTGGAGGTAAACCCTCTGGAGCCTGATCCCCGTGGTCTGTCCTGTGGAAATGGCTCTCTGTCCTTCAGAAATAAGGTATGATACATTTTAGATACTGCATGACTCTTTAAAACAGCTCCTGTTCTTATGGTCTTTTACAGTACTTGCAACCTTACACTCACATAAGACAGAATTTCTTTAGGTTAAAGAACAAAGAGAGATTAGAGCTAACGACATTCAAAATATGTTTGCTTGGCACCTACCCACTGTACATCTGTGTATGTTTTATTTAACCTTAATTTCAGAAGGAAGTCTGCTGAGATACTTTCTCTCTCTTACAAGGGAAACCTTTTATTCAACATAAAATAATAATTTACATATAGCACTATAGCACAGTAACATTGAATTATATTATATGTATCATGATTATGATACGGTTATCTTTTTTTAAGTGCTACACACTGATGAAGAGCATGAAGCCTGTGTCATTCAATTACGCCAATGAGGACTGCCAGTCGGTGAGGGGAACCCTGGTCTCTGTATCAGATCAGGTGGAGCAAGGTGAGGGCCACTATTGTTCTAGTTCTGTGTTTAATGAACAAGACAGGCATGGTTAACATTGGAGTCAAAACGCATGCTCTATTTAACGCAAAAAAATGCTTTACACTGTGTGTGTGTGTGTGTGTGTGTGTGTGTGTGTGTGTGTGTGTGTGTGTTTGTGTGTGTTTGTGTGTTTGTTTGTTTGTTTGTTTGTTTGTTTGTTTTAGACTTCATCACCACCCTTTTGCCGGACATGAGAAACATTGAAAGGATATGGCTCGGTCTGAAAATAAGACGTAGTGTTCCAGAGTGGATGGACCAGTCCCCAATTAACTACCTCAATTTTAACCCCCTGCTTCTGGGCATGCAGAGGGCTATAAAAGTCAATGTAAGTTCCCCTTTTCTTCACTTCTGTACTAACTGGGAACTCCGATGATCTTACACATCAAAGTCCAGTCTTGGGGACAGCATATTATAAGGAATATGGTCTAGACCTGCTCTATATGAAGATAACTGAATTTAGAATTGAATATGTTAAAAAACTTTGTATAAAAGCATTTAGTGGCTCTAGAGGGATCAGTGTGTCATCTGCCTGATAAATTGCTACAGGTTTCTGGAGATGTGGAGTTTGAAAGAAGTGAGCTGACCTAACCTTTGTAGCCCAACTCCTCATATCTGCTTGAGGCTTGCAGCTTGAGGCTTCATTAGCCACTACTAGCACGAACACACCTGAATCTCTGAACTGTCAGCAGCCAAGTTGCATTGTGGGTAATAAGGGTGGGAGGTTTTAACAAGGAAGAGGAATGTGTGGAATGAAAAAGACGTTCTCTCTTGTTCAGCTGCTTTTGTTTAGATCTTTTTTTTTCTAAAACTGTTAGTGCAATGCTAAAGTGCTGGAGTACTCTTTTTAATGCAAACCTCGGACTCAGGGCATGAGATGAGTTGTGCTTTACCATGCTTCATCTTTATACAGTCTGCATTACAGCCATAGACTGTAGATAGAAACAATGTGTTCTTTACTGTTAGCATTGGCCTGTGGTAGCTTACTAAAAGGGAACACATTTGACAGGAAAATAGACTTAACCACATTTGATAGTAATTTTTCTTTGTTCTTTTTTTGATAGACATTGGATCCAGACAGTATGGATTTCTGTGTGTTTATGATCAATAGCCCCAACTCCGACATGCTGGGTACCTGGGACTATTCTTCCTGCACAGAGCCTCAACATCTGTCGGTTTGCCAGCACTATGCAGGTAAATCACTGCTTCCAGCATCTAATCATGCTTTATTATCCAGCAAGAAGTCACTTAATCAAGTTACTTAATCTGGCATGCTAAAGTTCTTTATTTATTCTGAATAATGTTATTAAGTATAGGCTTTGATGCATGTTAACTGTTGAAAATACATTTGAAAGGGCAGTAAAAGATGCATGGATAGGGGTTAAGGTGTTGACCAATCATGGTTCAAATCTAGCAGGGACCTTAATAGCATGACGTTCCCATCTCTCTGCTGTAATTTCTCTAATAAAAGGCATGAAGTATAAATACTTGAAAATAAATACTTTTCTCTCTGGCAAAACCTGCCATGACCCTATGTTCTTTAAACACAAGGCTTACTCATTTCAGATAAAGTCGAGGAGCCCCACGTCCCCACAGAGCCCTTTGTAGTCAACAACCACACCATCCTGCTGCTCGTCAAAAACCTCACCTGGTTTGGGGCCTTAGAGCAGTGCCAGAGTAACGGCATGTACCTGGCAAGTGTGGCCGATACCCTTCTGCAATCCACCCTCACTGTGCATGTGAGCCGTGCACGCATGCCCATGTGGATCGGCCTCTTTAGCGAAGACGTAAGTGTACCAGAGAATGGCAGTCTTTATTTGAATCCACTATTTTTTACAAAATTATTTTTTTAAATGTTTCTTTTGTGTTTTGTCTTGTGTTCAGGGTGGGACCCACTACCGCTGGACCGACCACAGTCACACCGTATTCAGTCGTTGGTCTTCTGATCTCACCAGTGGGTCGTGTGTCTACCTGGACACCGATGGCTTCTGGAAAGCCACCCAGTGTGAAGAAGAGCTTGGAGGCGCTATCTGTCACAAACCACACAGTAAGTGTGGATATGGAGAAGATAAACAGAAATGCCTGTTGTACCTCCTCATAGCTAATCCCTGCTAGTGGTGGAATTACAGGTGTATGAAACATTTTTTCTAGACAGGAAAACTTGAGGAACTCTTTGTAAATTCTCTCAGGAACAGTTGTACATTTTATAACAGATCTTCTTTTTCTGGTCGGTGCATTTGTACAGCAAGATGGTGTAGAAAAGGTCTTGTTTCTAGTAAAATTCATCCAAAAAATTCACAAACATACAGTGGCTTTCATAGAACGTGAAGTCTATCAAACATTAAGTATAAGTAACTCACAATAAATAACTATTATTATGGACCAATAATTTATCGGCTGTAATTTAATTATCAGAATATCTATATAATATTATAATAATAATATAACATCTTTTTATTTAGTCTTGTGGTTCGAAATCTTTACAGATTTGATCTCCTCTAAAATCTCTTCCATCTCTGTTGACATGCATCACTCTTACAAATACCAATATTTTTTAAACCATCTACTTAAAAATACAAACATATGTATTACAGAAGAGATCATCACCACACCAGAGGACGTTGCAGTAAAGTGCCCCCATAAGATCAATGGTCCAAACTGGATCCCCTTCAAGAACAACTGCTACTCCTTCCAGCTGGTCGCCTCCAGATGGGAGCAGTTTGACCAAGGACAGATTCACCAAACCTGCAAAAAACTACGTAAGAATTTAACGACATTGGGCACATGTTGTTGTGTTTTGGTTTTCTTATGAGACTTTCTATAACAGACTGATGTTGTTAAAGTTGCTAATAATGATGCCTTTATATTTCAGATGCAGATGCAGACATCCTTACCATCCGAAATCCAGAGGAGAATGAGTTTGTCAAGCAGCAGCTCGTACCATTTCAAAACTTGGTCCAGTTTGTGTGGCTGGGGCTGTTCAAAGATAACAACGGTTTGTATTTATTGCTTAACCGCAAATGTCTATTTTGCAGTAGAACGCATTTGTCTGCTAATACACATCGTGATACCTAAACTCAAGGGTGTTGGCCGATATGGATCGGATACAAGTTCTTACATGCCTTCTAGATATCACCGGTACTATCAAAGAGCTCATTGAACTTAATCTGTATGCTGGGATGTGCCCCTCAAGCTCTTTGATTGGTGGGCTTCTCTGGGGGCAGTGTTAACATACACTATATATGTATATGTCTGATGAAGGTCTGAGGACTGTGTAGTGTAGTAGCAGCCATGTGTTACTTACACGGTGTTTTTAGGCTTGTGAAAAAAGATGTACTAGTGAGTGTGTATTTATGTCATTATGCCATTATATTAATAGTAATTTTTGTCTGCTGTAGATGACAAGATGAAGTGGTATGATGGCACAAATGTCCAATATTCCAACTGGGCAAGAGGCAGACCCGATGTAGAAGAACCTTTCATGGCTGGTCTCACCACTGACGGCAACTGGATTCTCATCTCAAACCGAAACGTGTTTGCAGAGTTCAAACAAAAGACTATTGTGACGTGCAAACTGGACAATGGTTGGTGTCTCACACTTTACATCAAAATGTATATTTCTCTGTCCACCTCTAGTGTTATCGTCACTGAAAATATTTCATCCTCTTACATATTTTTTAATCCTTCCTTCCCAAGAACCAAAACAGGAGTACAACCTGTCATCCAAGGATTTTCAACGTTACGGCAACTTATCTTATGAGGTAGTAACCCAAAAGTTGAATTGGTACCAGGCTCTGAAAGAGTGCAATCAGCGTGGAGGCCACCTGGCAAGTGTCCACGACATCCAGCACAGTGCCCACGTGAGGCTCATTTCCAAGACGGATGGCTTCCCGCTCTGGATTGGCCTGTCAAACCAGGATGTAAGTATTTCGCTTCACCAAAATATGTGCTAAATTTGCATTTCTCTCACATGACAATGCCTCAGAATTCTTTGCTCATAATTTCACTTCTTCTGCAAACAAGATGGGTTAACATGACATGTCTCTATCTCTCTCTCTCTCTCGCCATGCAGGTTAGTGGCTCAGTCTATGAGTGGTCTGATGGAACGGAATTTGACTACAAAGCCAACATCTCTGACACACAGCAGAGCTCCAGCTCAGATAAACAAGGGGCCAGCTGTGTTTTTGTAAACCCTGCTGGAGACTGGGTGAGGACCAGCTGCAATATGGTGGCAGAAGGTGCCATCTGCTACACCACCACTATCACCACCAGTTCCCAGAGTAAGTCTGATGTGTGTTTTTTGACATTGTTCCTCTTTCATCATGTTGAAAAAGGGAAATGACTAAAAAGAAAATGAGCACCACTCAATCTTTTCATACATTATGGCAAAGTTGTACCTTTGTTTAAAATTATGCATGAAACTGTGACTTCATTTGTGCTGGATGGCACTGACTGTCCACCTCATGTCTCTGTGTTATTATGAATCAGGAGCCATACAGCCGGTTGCCCCAGAGACCAATCACTGCCCTCAGAGCAACGGTATGGCCAAGTGGGTGCAGCATGAGAATCACTGTTACGCTGACATGAGCTTCTCCAACTACAGTGTGTACAGCATGGAGCAGGCCAGGGGCGTCTGTCTGAACATGAGTGAGTTGTTTTTTGGTGTATGAAGGGTTATAATTAGTATTCATCTGAAGCAACTGTAGTCCACCAATTGTTTTTTTTTTTTTCTGCTGCTGACAGATGCTCAACTGCTGACCATAAAAACCTCAGAGGAGAACGACTTTGTGTCAAAGTACATGTATGATTCCCCTCTCATCACCAGTCGTGTTTGGCTTGACGTGGTTCTGGATACTCAAGGTAAACCCCATAATTTAAAGCATAAGCAAGACAGTAAACCAAGGAGGATTTAGATAACATTACAGGTCCAATCTGCAGTTTTTAACTATTTCTATTATGAATATATGTTACAGCAACAGAAAACATTATTCAATGGGATTTAACTAATTGTTTTGAGTAAGTATTAGTATTAAATCACTTCAATTAATTAATTTAGGAGCGATAGCTGGTTCAAGTCCAGTTGTGTAATGTGAAAGGAAGCACTAATAGTGACAAACCCACAGAGAATTACCACCCAACACTGCAGTCCCCCTCAGCTCTACGGAGCATTTTAGTGTCTTTCAGCTCATTTCTTTGTGGGGTGATTACAGCTCATAATTTTACTGTCTCAGCATCAGCATTCAGCCACAACAGCCAGCTCTGGTAAACATACTATACACTACTTACCCAACACCAAAACGCAGACAAGAATAGAGCAAAGTTAGCGACAAGCTGGTGAAAACAGTCAAACCTTTAGCAGCTAAGGAGCCAGATATCGCCCTCAGCAGCTGGTAGAGACCAAAACGGAGCTAGAATATTGGATTTAAGATTTTTAAACTGACAGAAATATGACTTCAAACAAATCCTAATGTTGCTGGATATGTAAATTGGCAGACAACATATCACCTTTAATAATATGTCAGGTTTGTGTTTATAGCTTGTTTTGCTTCCCCAAGTGGCAAAAAATAAAATAATATAAAACAAATCTCTTTGATTGTGTTGATTATTTTAATCTTATTTTACTAATTGTTTATGTTGTTGATTTGAGTCCGATATTAACTCTCAACATCATACAGAAACACATTATTTGTGACATGATTTGTGTTGTGAGAGTGATGATAGTCCTCCTTCCTTTCCCTTCTCATTATGTCCTCGTTCTTCCTCTTCTACAGGTAAGCCTGTATCCTGGCAGGATGGCTCGACTCTGGCTTACTCTAACTGGAAGTCTGAGGACTTTGTTACTGGGAAGAAGTCAGATCCCCAGTGTGCCGTCATTATGGCAGGAGATAAAGGAATCTGGAAGCTCGTCAACTGCAAGGACAGCCGCAGTCGTGTTGTCTGCAAATCGGAAGCAAGTGAGTGTCACAACTTCATTAAAGGAAAATTCGACATTTTGGGAAATATGCTTATTCGCGTTGTTGACGAGAGTTAGATGAGAAGATGGATACCGCTCATATATGTACGGTAAATGTGTATCTGGAGGCATTAGAAGGTTAGCTTAGCACAAAGTATGGAAACAGGTGGAAACAACTAGCCTCTTGGCACTGTCTGTAGGTAAAAAGCTGCCAGGCAAACAGTGGAGACTCTAGGAAGTTGCTGGTTCCGGCCAAGAAACAACCTGGCACATAACCGCCTATAAAACAGCTAGTTGTCATTATTGCACTTCAGTTTTTGTATGGATTAAACAAACAAGATATATTACGTGTTAATTAGTGAGCTTTAGAGGTGCTGGTTGGTAGATTTGTTTCTTTTTGTTTCTATCTTGTTTACTTGGAACACAAAAACTGATGACTAACTTCACCTTTGCTTCTCAGAGTCTGCAGGCGCCCCCGTTGCACTCGGTTTCTTCATCGTGGTCCTCATCGCTCTCCTCTTAACCATCGGCTTTGTTGTCTATAAGAAGAAAAGAGCCCACTTCTCTTCTACCGTCCGCTACAAGAGGACCTTTGATGAATCAGACACCACCAGTATTATAACGGAAGCTGACTGAGCTTGCTTAAGTGGTCAGCCTCAGGGAGTATTGATGTGCCTGCCTTGTGTGCATTTTAGTACTTTTCACCAGGAGCACAATTGCTCTTACTAAAAAGCCTTCCCCTTTTTTTAAATTATTTATTTATCCCACTCAAGCCTTCAAACTTTCTAGAATTATGTTTTAAACTGTAAATATTGTTGGCAAATTGTGAATATTCGCCAAAATTTGGGCTACTTTAGATTGTGAGACCTGTGTTATACCTAATGTAAATACTTGGGCTGATGCTTTGTGGTACATGTTGATCATTGACATTAGTGGGATGTTAGAGTTCTGTTTTTGGGTTTTTGATATTGTAAAAAGATGTGATTTAAAGAAATATGCAACCTGATATAACACTCCCATTCAGCCTTATAACAGGGGTTAAATTGCACTGATGTATTGTGACTTCAAACTATCAGACACAAAACATTTATTGTTTTATGCTGTATTTACCATTAGTCAGTTTATCAACATATTCCAGTTGTATTTTTCAACTTCAAAATCCACATTGTCATCAATCAGTACATTTAAAGGGCCAGTTCATCTAAAAATCCAGTCAAACTAGTTTTTCTTTGACTTGGAGTGCTATATATCCAGATAGTTTCTCCTTCAAACACTCACAATACTGCCAAGATCTCACTGTGAATCATTTGAGAAGTAGTTTTTACTGAAGTATGCCCCATAACTGTCCACAAGCAAAAGGAAGACACTAAAGACTGTAAACGTTTCAATCATATTTTACGAGAAACTTTGCTGTTGAGCTCTTTAAATTGGCTGTGGGTTGGATTTGGTTTTGAGCTCCACTTAATTGGCCTTTTTTAGCTTGCAGCTAAAATCTCTGTACCCCAGCAAATCACATTAAAGTTATCTGGATTGAGAGATCACACTCTGGTGAAGAAAATACATTTGTATTTTTATTTGGACTGAGCCTTTAAACAAAAAGAAATGAATGTCTGACTGTGCCTTTTAACATCATGATTTTGAAAGAGATGGGAGTTTTTTTTAAGTCACTGGATTGGGTCATTTTCAGTGTATTTACTGATTCTTTCGACTTATTAATACCTATTAATAAGTCAAGTTAATGTGTTTAAGTTGTCAATATGTAAATCAAAGAGGAAAATCTTAAATTTTAGTCCTGCTGATTAGTTTTAAAAGTGTAGGACACTGTCTTAGCCACAAAAAGAATCAGACACGTCTGTATTGTTTGTCTGTTTACGTAGATCAGACTTTCCTATGCACTTAACTACTGAGCAAGAACGCACTTTAATACGTTGTGGAGCTACAGTTCCTATGTTTAAGCACAATGAGGGTTGAAGAGTTTTTAAAGACGTTCAAATTGCACTGGTGTTCGTTTTGAATGCTTTGTAAATATGTGATGTTTTTCTTTTTTAAACTAAGAATGAACCAAAGATGCTCTGAGTCGTTTGAATGTCAAAAAGCCTGAGCTTTCCTTTCAGTTTGTGGAACTGCCTCGGTATGGCTTGTTAACCCATTCATATCAAGGGTAAACCAAATGTTAATGTGTTGTTTTTTTTTAACTTTACCACCGCTCTTAATGAGATCTGTCAGCTCATATCAGGTACAGTATCCTTCCAATAAAATTTTCTGTCTTCATTGTGAATTTGAATTGTGATGTGACTCGCTCCATGGGCTCATACTTTCGAGATATTGTCTCCAAACAACTCGCTTGAAAGTAATCTTCCTGCAGTAAGTCATTGTCAAATCACAAGAGCTGCTTAGATTTTGATTCTAACAAGATGCACCTCTTATAATAAACCAATATATAAGCCTACTAGTAGATAAGACTCACAAAAAAACACTTCACAAAAAAAAGGCAGTTTGCGTTCAATCTTTATTCCCAAAATTGAAAGCATGAAACTAGATTTGTACATACATAAAGCATTTCAAACACTGAACAATGATGAAGAAAATTTAAGTCAATGGAGTAAGTTCTTACTTCTTTTTAAACATATTCTCAGTGGGAAAAGCCAGAGACCACAGACATTAAAATGAATAACCACTTTTTAATTTTCTCTCCAACAAAGCATCCTAAACATCACAACTTAAGTAAAAATTGAAACTTGTCACTGTTTCCCCCTATGCTTTTTCAATTTCTGCCATTTCAACATTAAAGCACTTGTGGTATAACAGTTAAAAAAAACTTGCATTTTTATTTTATTATAATTGAATAAAGTGCACTCTTATAGAAACAGATATATGGTGGTGTCAACCAAAATATTTAACGCACTAGTTCATTTCAAGTTTGCATATCAGCAAAAGCCACCTGCAATTTCTCACTGCTGTTGCATTTCAGATGAATATGACGATGTCAAAGCATGTGCGAAAACTGGGTGAGCTACCATATGACATGGAGTAGCCCTGCAACTTTAGATTATATTGATATTTCGGACCAACGTTTTTTTTTTTACCCTCATTGTACATAATTAGTACTCCTCTTCCAGATCGTCGTCCAGGTCAGAAAAGTCAATAGATGGTCTGTTGTCTCGGATCTCCTCGTCGCTTTCACCATGGGGGACTGCAATCCAGAGACATTGAGTCAAATTCTGTAGCCATGTAATAAATATAACAATGAAAATACTCAAGTTGGCAATTTACACAATAGGAGAGAATTGAGCAACATACTTTCAAGATTGTCCATGTGTTCATGAAGAATTCTCACCAGGTTGAATAACTGGGTGAGAAAGGGAAGAGGTTTCTCTTTTCAAGATTTATATTCTACCAACAGTTAAAACATTTTCAGATTGTGTAAATTAGTATTGACTTGAGTGCCTGTGGGTCAATGTTGTATACACAGACTACAAAAACAGGAAGCCCTGTTCACTGTAACGTAGTCTGACAGCAAGAAAATACAAATGGCTCTTTCAGCCAATGTTGAAAAAGACTAATGTAGTATGATCAACCGTAGTGCTGAATTAGCATTATGGGTAAATCGTGTGTGTGTGTGTGTGTGTGTGTGTGTGTGTGTGTGTGTGTGTGTGTGTGTGTGTGTGTGTGTCGTGCTCACCCCAGCTGCATCAACTGCTCCCAGGACATCGGAGAACCTCTGCTCACAAAAATGCAGCAGCACCACCAGATAAAGGCCGCTGCTGATGAACTCATCATATTCTGACTGTGAAGCAAGAAAAGGATCTTTCAGCAAACTGCCCAGTTTTCATCCAGAACACACACAGTACATGGTTTATAAAATAAAATATAATTAAAAGGAAGTAAAATGGTGACTCACTTGCACATGTGTCCTGTATAACTCCTGAATGTCAAAGTTGTCTATGTTCAAACGCAGTTTCTCCTTGCAGAGTTCACATGTTGTGATGGCCTCAAGGTTCGTGCCTAAAAGACAAAATAAAAAACAACCAAATACTGACTTGCTGGAAAAGATGTGGTTTTGGTGAAAGCTGCAGCCAAGTGAGAGGACAGTATTTACCCGAGCCAATTTTGGAGCGAAGCCACCTCTTGATGCAGTCCTGGTGGACGTACTGCAGGCTGCCTGTACAGCGGCAAGGCTGAATTAGGGGGTTGGTTGACGATTCCTCCCCCATCTGGCAGATTCGGCACAGGTCACCCTCCTCTTCATCAGAATCCTCCAGCAGCAGTCTAGAGCAGGAAAGAAGGATATTTAGTTGTGCTGGCGATGCAGTACCAATTTCTTTACATCCATTTCATATTTAAAAACTTTAAAACTACTTTTGAAATATTGTACTGCTGTAGATTGTAAAGAGACAGTTATGAAACATTTTATTGCAGACTTAGATCGTGTTAGGATATGATGTACATAAAAAAAATGGATGTTTGCGATATCAAAAGTTCAAGTAAACAAAAGTATTTCGGCTTTTGGAAGGCAACTCTAACTGGATTAGAGTTAGGTTAAACACATCTTGGACCAACGTTATCACTGTAAGTACAATACAAAATAAATGGATATTTATGTTATCCACCTCTCAGTGAAACACCAATCAAGCACTTTACCCAAATTACTTAAATACGTGACAAATGCATTTTTATGTGGGAGATCAGAACCCATTACCTCTCCTTGATCTTGCGCAGCTTTTCCTGATCTCTACTGGAAATGGGTTTCTCCCTCTGGCTGTCCAGCTCAGCTCCACTCAGTGGACCCATAGGAACTGAAATGTTTTCATACACTCCGACTCTGTGACGTGGCGAATACTCAACTGAGGCATCTTCTAGTTCAGGTAACGTCTCCTCTTCAAGTTTGCAGGGACGACCTGCGCCAAAGGCCTCTAAACCAACTGCTCCTTCCTCTTTCTCCTCCTCCTCCTCCTCCTCTTCTTCATCATCGTCGTCGTCGTCTTCCTGTGATGCTCTATGCTCAAGGTTATCCCACCTTCTCAGTAAATGCTGGGGCCGGCTGTAGCCTTCTTCTACGTCTGCAGCTGAGTGCGCACTCTCGTCCCTAGTATGTCTTCTGAGGCGAGCGAGGAGAGGTGGGCAGCGGCCGCGAAGGGAGGAGGAAAGCCAGGAGGAGGAGGAGGAGCTGCTGCTGCTTCCTCCACTGCTTGTGTTATTACTACTGCCAACGCCAGGTTCTCTCCACAATGACATTCTGGACCGAGGCAGGCCACTACGGTAGCCATCGTTGTTATTTTCCTGGATAGGGGCGAGGTCGGCTCTGCGATTCCTGTGGCTAGCCAAGGTTGCCTCCGACCCTCCAGTGTCAGGCTCCACACTAGACATCCTGACTCCCTCATCACTGTCCACAGACTCTCCACCAGTTGATGGACTGTCATCTTCAAGGGAGCGAACACTGGATGAGCCACTAGAAGAGTCTTGGCTGGAGCGCCGTGAAAACAAACGGGACAAAAGGCGACGAGTGGAGCGACGGCCCTCAGGCTCTCCGCCTTCAGGTGCCGGCCTTGGGGGGAGTGTGGCCTCTGGTCTGGCCAGGGGAGTGGTGTACCGAGGGGTGTGGGAGGAGTAGGAGGAGGAATTAACTGAGGACGACTCAGGTTTTCTGATTTGTTCCTGAGATGAGTGGAGAGTGGACGAGCCGGTCGAGAAACGAGATGCGGTTCTGCTGCTGAAGTCACGCGCCAGAGGAGAAGATTGATGGGAGGTGGAAGATGAGAGGTGGCGATTTAGAGAGCTTTCTCTAGCAGTGGAGGAGGAAGAAGAGGAGGAGGAGGAGGATGGAGAGTAGACACTCTCTTTAGGCCGAGCTCCCTGTGCATATGTGGACGTTACCCTGTCTGTCTGATCTGAATTGGGGGAAGAGAAGAGATGTTAGTGTGAGACTGGCTTCTGTGTCACAATACATTAAGAAAGATTGCTTACTGTGTCTTTTTTACATCATAAAATATGCCTACACAATGAGGAAGCCAATCCAGAAGTCCTAGTCCTTCTTTCTCCCAAACTTGAGAGACTGGGCTCATTCTTTGTTTCCATCTCTCTCGTGGACAACAGCGGCTTTGAGGAGGAAGATGATGACCGTGAGAGTAAACGGCACGAGCTCCATGATGAATCATACGTGTCATTTTGTTTTTCACCTGTACCTGTTGAGAAAAGAGTAGAAAAACTGTTTTTAAAACTGCTTGGTTCATTTTACAATTCACTTTAAAATTGATAGGAATTAGCAGAATCTGACTTGACATCTCAGTTAGGTTTTCTGGTACATTGCTATTTTACTGAGAAAATGTGATTATTTAAGTTTAATCATCACTAATTTCTAACAGTTCTGTCGGGAGTGTCTATGTCTGGTGACTCCTAGTTTAAATGATGATAAATGGCAAATAAATTTACTGTTGACAGAGGCCATGAACATAGGCTTTTGCTCAACAACCTGCTCCCAAGTTACAAACACATTTAACATCTGGAGCTGGTTTCAAGTTCAAACTTACCCTAGCTGTGCACCATGAAATTAAAACCGGTTGAGCATAAAGTAGTTCTTACATAGAGATTAGCTGTAGCTAAATATTTACACCTAGTAAATGTGAGGTGTAAGTGTGGCTAACTGAACCAAATGACAAAGCTTACATTAGCTTGCTAATATATAACCTGTTCAGACAGAAAACTTAACGAGAGGCAATGGGAGGGCCCTGACTCTTAAAACTGTATTTAATAACTATGTAAACTGAATTTTAAAATATTTCCCTAGTCAACAAAATATACCTCAAATTGCAAAAAGAAAATTCAAACATTAAACCAAATAGTTCTTGTTTGAATAATGACATATTTACCACTCATTCTAGACTTTATTATGCTACTACATGTGAAACAACTATTCCTCTGTATATGTATGCATTTAAAAATTAATTTGTAATTTACAATACATCATCTGTTAAGTTTAATATACCCATTTGGCCCCATAAAACTGTTATTTTTGGCAGTTTAGAGCTTGTGAGGCTGCAGTAACTTCCTGTTTATACATACTTAATTTAGCACTGCGCATTTGCTGGCACTCGATTCACACACTGCTTTTACTTGTTAAGAAACTATTCGGTAAGCAGTAGTAGCATCAGCTTGGAACTACCTAATAGTTACTATTAACTTACAAAGGATTTTGTGCACAAACTGAAAGATGGTGCAACCTGATCCTGGAGTACAGCGTAGAACTTAAAACAACACCTAGGTCAAAGTTAAGAAGTTTATTAGTGTTGTGTCACTGCTTTAAAAGCTGCCAATTATTTCCACATCAGACCGACGGTGGCTGCAGCGTTTTAACTATGTAGGCACCAGTAGCCCATCACTGTCAGGTTTCCATTAAGAACTATTAAAATAATGGTTTATTATAGTCGTTTTAAAATGTAAATAACTTTCCCTAAATGCGACACTCGTCATATTTAGCTTTACTAATGAGGGCTCATGTTACTTAACCACCCATGTTACCACAGACGCACCACTGTTTAGCTACCATTACCACCTGCACTGAAGACATATCAGACCAACAACACGGTACAAAGAGTAGTCATCTGATTTCCATTGTAGGTGTGTCCACTAAAAGGAGGATATACAAAGAGCAGCTCAAGCCAGGCGGAGGGGGTGCGCTCTGGACAAACTGTATGCAGTGCGAATTAATATGTCAGATCTTCACATGTCCACCTCACATTAGAACAATAGGATACAGGCTCAAAAAGTATCCCTGAGGGAAACAGTTTTTGACCCCCATGAGTCTTGTATTATGTACCTCTGCCACTGCTAAGCCCATTACTGGAATAGGAGGATCCTGTAACTGAGGTGCTGGGCGTTCTTGAGTACAGTCCTCTGTTGCTGTATGACAGTTTGGCCCTTTTAGAATCGCCATCATCAGTGGCGTTCAACAGAACTGAGCGCATGCCCAACCTCCCCTCAGAATCAGTCTGGGGAAATGAAGGCAGACATTAAAAAATACATTTATATTTCAATGACATTATTCAGTAATATTCCTCTAACCTCTACCCTAAAATGTTTAAAGTTCTAGACAATACATTTGACCAGGCTGTACTTTGCCTGCTATAAACCAATGACAGTAAAGCTCCAGTACCAGTTTGCTCCTGCTGCTGAGAGAGGAATCAGCCCACTGGCGGTCATAAGATCTGCTGGAGGACGTCAGAGAAGAGGGCAACTTCCAGCTAGTGGAGCGACTGTCAGAGCTAGTGTAGTCTCTGGATGACCTCAGGAGGCGGGAATTCTTCCAAACGGAGAGAAAGCAAAACATTTTTAGGATTAGTTAGAAGTTGTGCCTAGGAAAATAAGTAATACAAATTTGAGTTCTTTCTTCCTCCAGTAGTTAGAAAATCACACAATCACTAGTGGAAAAATGTTTCAGTGAGTGGTTCCCCATTTTGTTCGCATCTCGTGCTCTACTCGTATATGCATGTGGTGCAACAGTTCCACATTTTGTTCAGTGAACATATTGTGCAAAGATACCTAGAAATACACAGCAAAACAGCCAGAAATAGGAAGACTGCAATCAGATTTTAACATGGATGCAAGCAATTGGCTTTTAAATATTCAAAAGATGAAATGTCTTATGAGTAAATACATGCATTCAACAGGTTTGGGTGTTCTGACAGAAAACACTGAATGTAAACATAACTGTTTATGAGAAAACTCCACAGGACACCTTCACAGTAAGTGTCATGTGACTCATGTTGAAGAAACACCAATATAGATCTGTCTAAGTGGATAGTTTAAATGTACTGTTTAAAAGGTACTGTTACTGGTACAGTAAAAAAAAATAAAATAAAAAAATGATGAAAGGTGGGTGGGTTGTTGGGTCTTTGCACCTACACTGGGACTCTTCTAGAAAGAACAGTAACAAATAGGCAAGCCCCAGGCCAACAGTAACACTATCTCTTGAAATGGGCCTTGATGAGAAGCAGGACTGAAATACATGCAACGTGTGCCAAGGAATCTAGGCTGTCCTATAAAAAGACCTCCAAAGTGTCTGCTGTTGCACCACTGACATGTGTAGTTAGCTACTGTACCATCATCCTCTGGGGACGTGGAAGAAAAGCCTATTTGAATGCCCTCTCTCTGGAATATACAAGAAAGCCAGATGAGTGAAGCCCCAAGTGGAATAGCAACACAGATACAGCAGGATGACACGGACTCAGGCCCAACAAGTGCAGTTGTTGTTGTTGTTGTTGTTGTTAGTGGCCATTTTGTCCAATTTAAACCAACAATACTCCAGCTGACACTATCACCCTATATGACATCTGCATGCCAGGCTGAAATTAATAAAGCTGGTGTTCATCTACAAGCTACAAACCAAACACATACCAAACTTTTAACAAGCATGTTAAGTGAATTTAATATGAAACTAAAGCTCTATATACAGCACACAAAGACTGATACAGCAGAGCACAGGTCAGAGAGTGGTGTAGTCCATGTTGTAGGCAAATAAATAGATGTGGGGGTGTGCACTGTGTATAAAACACCAATGCATGGTTCCTAGCTTTTAGCTATTTTGGTTCAATAAGCCTAAAAGGTTGTGCTGTCAGCCTACCTGTTGTTCCAGGTCTGCTTTGTAAGATGAAGACGATGCCCTCGGGAAGCGGTCATTATTCAGCACTGTGTCCCTACTGTACAACCTACTGGAGCCGAGCGATGAGGAGGAGGTTGTTGTTGTCGGACTGGATGTGTAGGACGATCTTGAGCTTGGCAGACAAAAAGGAAGTCTGCGAGACCTGGAGTCCATCACGGATTGCCTGTTGCGATACGGAGGAGATGAGAAATCCAAAGATTTTAATGCACGATAGCTGAGATGTGCCGACAGGAAAGCGGGAAGAACTTGCTCAGAAATGCATCAATTATTCCTTACGCAATGGAAAGAGTTTACACCTTGCAGCACAGACTTTTAAAGGGCCTGCAACCTCTCGGTCTGCGGAGTAACAAGGCTTGGTGGGGCAGTGTGTGAGCGTGTTAGATTCGCACGTGACGGCGTGTCTGTAAACACCAAAACCTGGCACCGTGGTGCTTCATAGATTTGGTATCACAGTCACAGTGCCTATCTTAGGGATTATGAACTCTGTCACATGAACATGACACTTCCAGAAAGCAGCAGCACTCTTGAGCTGCGTGTCTAAGCAAACAAGGTGCTCCGCGCCAGTTATGAGATGCTGAGATCATTCATTATTAATCTGCATCATTTAACCCAACACACACACACACACACACACACACCACAAAGTCAATTAAATTCTAACATTCTCTTAAGTGCTATTGATGAATTATCTGAAAGCCAAATGTACCAGCGGGCCTGGAAGGGAGTGCTGAGAGTTTCTGACATAAGGTGGTGCAGTATGAGTTACTCCTTGGTACTGATACGGACCCATCGACATTAGCTACAGCACCTGTGGTCAAAGATAGCTGAGCAAGCCAGCAGCCTGTCAGACTGAAATGAACAGCAGTAAATAAGGACAAAATAACTAGAACATTTCAAACCATAACATACCACTTAACCCTTTAAACCCTCCCATAACAGAATACAACATATTTAGGGAGACGCAAATGTTTTATTATTAAACAAACAAAACAGTTAAATGAAAGTAGTCCTGAAAGTTAACAAAATATAAAGAAATCTCCTAAAAAATGTTAGATATCTTGGTTGAATATTAATATTAGTTGTTGCGTGCTATGAAAGAAGCTGCAGGTGTAATATCTCCTGGGATATATCCTCAACCGTCAGTTTTTAAACAGATACACCCATCTAAAACTAATGTAGTCTAATAAACAATATATTTTTTTAAGGATTGGTCAGTTTATGTTGCAAGTGTTTCAGACTTCATGGTTCAACTTCATGACCATTTGGGGAGATTGTAACATGTGCAATTGTACCCAGAAATGTGTTGTCTAATGTTTTGTCCAACCAAGTCAGGTTCATGAGGAAACCACAGCCTTTACAATCAAATATAACATTCATAAAAGGAGGATTTATTGCAGAGCTGTTGAATTTACAATAGTTTTAGCTAATTTACTGAATCCTAACCCTTAAAACGACAAACACAAGACCTGACCTGACCATTATCCATTAGTACTTAAACACACTAATAGCAACCTAATCAACTAAAAAACCGATGTCGAGGTGTGCCAACATTACCTTGCCTGCTTGCCTCGTCTTCTACTTGATGCCTTCAGATGTTTTGCTGAGCGGACACCTCGCCACCAAATCGCAAAAGGTTAAACGTTAGCTCAAACTAGTTAGCTGACCACCGAGCGTTTGCCTAACGCCTACAATTTGTTGTTGTTGTTGTTGTTGTTGTTGTTTCCTGACCGAAACATAGCCTTTCACTGTTTGTTTGTTTTCGTCTCATTGACATCCGACTTGCGTTGCATGTAATTTCATGTGTCACAATCAACGCTAGCGTTAAAATGCTCGGTTGGCTACAAAAACAATGTTAGCCGTGAACTAACGTTACTAGCAAGGGGGGGAGAGAGAGACGTCATTTGCAGACTTATCTATCGTTAAATATTAACTGTGTTTCCCAGAGGTCGTTCAGGTATGGTAACGGGATAGATCAGCTGTTGTTTTTTTTCCACGATTCGTCTGTTTTGCTACAGCGAGTGACAACTCGGGTTAAAGCTAGCCACAAGCTAGCTGGTTAGCTTGCCCATCTGTACGCTGGCGTTTAGAAGTCCTGACATTTTACGTCAACTAAATTAAAACGCTGACTAATGCTCGTTTGAAACAACCTTTTTTTTTGTTGTTTGTTTTCCTTCCTGCACTAGGGTGATAATTTAGTAGTTTAGGAACACAAAGCAGTGTCAGTATGCAATCCTCACCTTTGATTTGCCTCGCTTTGAAAGCACAACAGGAACGATGGCGTCTTGACTGCTGTGGATAGAAACAGGTCAGGTGATGTACGATGACCCCCGGAGGGAGTGGTTTAAAAGATTGCTTTCAGGTGGTTTATTGTCCTTCTCTAATTACGCGTCTCATCCACGTTTTAGTAGAGTAGATTTTGAGCTATTACATCAACGCACCCCGGGTTGAGAATTGAGCATTTGTGGCACTGATACGGTTAAAACCTCACAGCTCAGCACGACTTTGACGCCTCAAAGATTTCCAGGCCAAGTCAAACAGCGGCCCCATACGGCTCAGATGAGAAAGGCATGTCATGTTTTTATGTTTTGGGGATTAATTCCACCAACAACCCAGTGTTTGGGCTACTCATTGCTCTTTTTAAAAGTAATGTTATTATTCTCATATTATTCCCTGCCAACAGTAATTAGGGACACTACACGTTATGTTGTGTTTCTGCTACTTCCCACAAAAGTGTGGCCCCCCTTCTACCACAAAATTTCGACTTGTGGTGATTAAAATTCAGTTTTGCTTGTTAAATATAAAAAATATTGGGAATATTTCCAATCGCTAAATGTAAGCCTCCCATAGTTTCCTCCACGATTACAAAAATTGATCCAAGGATGCAATTGGATTGTTCTATTTTAAATAAGGGGTGCCAACTAAAGAAATATTGTAACATTTTTAATTTTTAATTTTTTTTATTAGTAATTAGTTACACTTCTTGTTACTCGGGAAAGTAATATTATTACTAGATTTACTGCCCATCACTGGTGCTGATACATTGTATATATTATGTTGCCAATACAACAGTGGTGGAAGAAGTACTCTGATCTTTTACTTATAAGTACACATACCACTGTGTAAAATACGTAAGTATTGGCATCAAAAGTACCAAAAGTAAAAGTACTCATTATGCAGAATGGCCCATTTCAGAATCATATGTATTATATCACTGGATTATAATTAGTGATGCATTAAAGGTGCAAAGGTGGGGCACATTTTGAAAACTTTATATACTGTTGGGTAGCTTAACCATGATAAAAATAATAATAATGCATCATGTTTTTTGTTAATTCATATTTTTTTATTCTACATTTGCAAAGTAACTAATTTTGTCAATTAAATGTAGTTAATTAAAAAAATAACTGGCTTCCAAAATGTATTAAGTAGCATGAAAGGCAAATACTCAAGCAAAGTTCAAGTACCTCAAAACTGTGCTTAAGTACAGTACTGAGTATATGAACTTCCTGTGTTACTTCTGTCTTCAGAGGTAGCTGTAGTTCATGGAGATCACTGTGTACACTCCTGAAAAAGTCTCACCCCTTGAAACCGCTTGAAATGCAAACAAACACATAATAAAGAATTTTGCGTTTGAAAGCAGAAAAAAAGAAAAAAGAACAACCGTGTATGAAGATTTGGTAAATCTGTGAAATGAGGCATGGCCAGCCAGAATTATTAACAGCTTGAGAGGTTTCAGTTCCCTGTGGAAAGTACTGTATGTGCCATGGCTTTGTAGTCGTTACCAATGCTAGTTTTTGTCAGTGAGTTTGGGATATTGGCAAAGGCTGCATCTAAAACATCAGCCAGTAAATCCAGCTGGAAATAAAAGACACAATTTGGGCTTTAAAGGCTTTACACCTGGCCAGGGCCTACAGATGGAACCCAGCCTTTTGGCTAATTCTAGCATATTTATAGCAATGTTTATTAATATGCACTGTCCTTGAGAAATAAATAAACTAAACTGAAGTCTGGAATATAACAGAATAAAGCAGACAAAAGGGTACAACACTGTGAAGTGAGTCACCATAACCTTTTAAGACTACTAGACGCATTTATCCTGAAATGTTTATTCATTTAATTTAAAAAGGCAGCAGTTCAGCCATTCATATATTACAGGCAGTAGTGGAAAGTACAGAGGGATATTTATTCACTATGAGATTTAAAACGTTCCCACAGCAGCAAACAACTATTTCCTATGTAACAATGAAGTCATGATGTGTTGAGCTGTGAATGACTTCACACTCCCTCTTCCTGCGTTGTTATGGCAGCCTCTCTCTGGTTTGTCTACACAGCCGGTCTACTCTGTGTGCTGCTGAGTGGAGCGACTGAAACTGCTGTTTTTTTTTTCATTTACCTCAGTGAACTTAACCAGAGTTGGTGGATTGTTGTCATTGGCGCAGTTAGCTTACATTGTGGCCATTTCACGATGATTTTCACATGTAACTCTGTGAATTAAGGGTTTATTTTGATCGAACCAGGACTGGTGATTGTTGGAAAGGCTGTGGAAAGACTAACACAGACTGTTTTTGTGAGTTGTATTTTGTTTGAGGTGCTGGTGCTCTAGCGTGACATCCAGTGGCAAGTGAATTTCGTATAACCCTTTAAGTACAATTTTCAGGTACTTATACTTTATACTTTTGTTTTCACTTTTATTTACATTGTATTTACATTCAATGCTATTTTATACTTAGCAACACTTCAAAGGGAATTCTTGTATTTTTCTATTCCACTAAATGTATTTAACAACAGATAGTCTTAATAAATATGAAGTTCAATGTTACAGATTAAACAAAACAAATCAATCAACAACATTAAAATGCTTTTTAAATATATGCAACAGTAATAAAACATCAATATAATAATATTCTGAATATTCTGCAGTTAATAATAATAACCAACGTCCTAATGTGTGATGAGCAGCCAAGACATGGATGAGGATTCAGCAAACTATGCAGTTAATGTGAGGAAGGAATAGTCTAGCCATCAGGTATGAGAGGGGAGACTGCCAGATTTGTGTTTGACTTGCTTATAGTTTTATCAGCCATGATCAATGATAATGTTGTATAACTCTGTTAAAGCAGCGAAATTGTAGCAGTTCAAAATTGAATGTACTGACTTGAAAGTTGATGCATTTTTTCTGAGATTCAAGTTTCAACTATCTGTCTGTACATACAATATATCATACAAACCACTCACTGGATTTTGACAAAACTGGGGCATGTGATGCATCTTACGTTCGTCATGGCATTCTGACATTTTCAAAATTACTGCCCCAAGGGAGACACTGTAAATACAAGTCAAAATTAATCAGCGAAAACTTTGCTTACAGCTCCTTACATGCTTTTCAGTAGTGCTGAGCAAATGCCACAGAAATAACAAGTGTTTTCCTGTGAGAATCATGAACACAGAAAACAAATCTGATCATTTAGCAACTCCTCCTGAAGACAAAGGATTTTGCAGCCGAGGCATAATCACATCATCCACAGAACACAGCATGAACTGTCTTTGTAGGGACTATTTTATTAATTATTTATTTATATTTTGTTATAGAATGTGTTTTAATGTAATGTATAGAATGTGTTTTTAATGTAAAATGTTTACAATAAACTCTATGGATTATTAGATGTTTGATTTTTGTAAAATGTGATTTGTCAGTGCTTTGAGCTGCACAAAAATACTTTTGATTCATTATTAGGGTAGAAGCAGAATGGGTATGTCAAAATCTAAATAACCCAAAACTGTCTTCCTTCGTAGGCACTACTTTTTTTTATTCTGTGAAAGAAAAACCCTTTAATATTTTACAGTGAGAACAGCAAATCATATCAATAATCTCACGTATTACAGCTCAACAATAATAGTTATTGTAAATAAGTCAAGTGTGTGTGTGTGTGTGGATCAACTAGAGGCTCCCTGGTACCTCACCTGTCAGAGTGCACACCATATGTAATGTATGTCCATCTCTCCCTCCACTCCTATCGAATAAAGCCCAAAAATAATACAGAAAAAAAAGTGTGTGGGTCAATCTTGATGACACGTTCTGTGTTTTCAAAACTGAGAGTCTTAGGGTTGGGTGCATGTGATAATTGTTTTATTAATATTTAAATATGTTTTTTGAGATTATTTTGGGGAATTTTTGCTTTTATTGGACAGAGGATGGTTAGATGTTGGGTAGATAGATGACTGCTTTGGTGAGAACACAACATTTGATCTAATGGCCGCTGTTTCAATCATTTTAAAATTGTAGGGGAATCACTGAAGAACCACTGACCTCTAACTGTCATTTGTAGTAACCGTTGTTTATGCTCATGCTGCTGATGATGATCCCACTTTACTTGAAAATAATCAGAATCTGGGTCATTTGCAACAAAGGTGGCCTACACACACACACACACACACACACACACACACACACACACACACACACAATTGTATAGACAATACTGTCCAGGGCTGACGTCATGATGAAAGCTAGGAGAAGCTAATAGCCACTAAGGGGCGCTATAGTTCACACTTTTTTCCTCCGCATCCTTGGAAGAAGCAATTGAGCTGCACTATTATTTGCATGCCAGAACTTAGTGTTTGTTTAGTCAGGGAGGCAATTAAAGCCAATTTCAACAGGTTTAATTAGATTGATTTGAATAATTGCTTTGAAAGGCATTGTAGATCCTGTCATCGCAGTAAATCCAGGATTAGCAGCATTCATTTAATTTGCATACTTTAACTCACATCTAATTTAGCAGACCCCAGGAAGCATTGATCAAAGATAAGTCTAAACACATTCAGCACTTTCAATTCATTTTGTTTTCATGTTGCAGCCATTATTATTAGGGTTTTTTTTTCTGTTTCCTCTGAGCAAAAATCATTTACCATCTAAAACTGTAACACGCTGAATTCATGTTAAAAAGTGGGGGGTCCAGAAAAGGTCAGTTTGGAGCGGAGAGAGAGCAATGTTGAACAGCAGATGCATAATAATGTGAAGGTCAACAAGATACTCATCATGCTTGGTAAAAAAAAATGTAGCACTTAAAAGGCCCAGCGATCCATTATCAGTTGCATGTATACAACAGTGAACAGTGATCAAACCAAGTGTAAATCTACTCAAGGCTAACAGAACAAGAGGTGAAGGAGAAACAGAGAGTGAAAGGGGATAAATATAGGAGGGCGGTGCTGCAGATTAATTGCTGACAAAAA